ACTTGGGTTCCAAATCCCTTAGAGAATACTAGGTTATAGGAGAAGGGGATTAGTCTTGGAGGAGAACATGTTCGGGGCTAGGTAAGGGCATCTAGGGCCTTCGAAGCAGAAGGGCTGAAGGTTGCGAATCCCCCTCCCCCAATACTCAAAGGGCTCAAAGGGTGGGATGAAGGAAGGTGGGGTATAGGAACTAAGCCCCCATATAGTAGAGTATATACCCAGGACCAAGGATCCCTTAACCCACCTATCTTCATCCCACCTTTTGAGCCCCCTGAAATACTCAACCTTCCCAATGACAAGCGTCGTTATCCCCAGTACAAAAAGGCGCAATGTACTCAGATAATTGACAACTCCGGGGTATCCTTGTGGTGACTGTTTTGCCATCATTCCCTACACAGCAGCCAGTATTCTCGCATCCGGGGTTGTCATGGGGTGCTGCACAATCGCAAACAGGAATGACCGAGAGGCGGGCTGTACAAAAGGCTTTACATAAAAGTCCCATATTTTAGGTGAACCCCCCCACCCTGTAATAGTGACTAGAAGTCTATAAGGGATAATAATGGTGATTATATTAGGGTCCTCTAAATTCTTGTTATACCACTATTACAGGATCGGAGGTCCTCCTGACCCATTTTGCATGCGATCTGCAAGGCCTCGTGCAGACTTCTCGCTCGCATGGCCACCCACAGCAGTAGGGTTTAGGGTTTGGGGTTTCTTACCGTGGGCTCCCCAGAGATGCTGGCGGTCACACTTACAACTTACAACATCTCTGAACCGTAAAGATAGCACAGCTAGTTCCGCATCTTCTTGACGCTAAGGTCGGAATGTTCGTCGCCGAGGTCTTGATACGTCTCATTGCCAAGAGGTGGGATCTTCCACGAAAACGCTCGAGCATCATGTGTGTACCCAAGCAGGTGGTTCTAAAGTTGTCTAGTCCTTAGTAGCGACCCGCACCATCCCCTTACAAACCCCAATTGCCAGGGCCCATAAAACCCCCTTTTCGAGCGTCAAGCTTTGTACTGCAAAGGCGTGACACTGGTTTGGGGTTTAGGGTGTGCAGGGATCGTATCGAAGGTACGCACCGTCAGGACCAAGGATTCCAGCCTTAGACAGCAGGGCTCGGCATCTAGCTAAGCCGATTTGTTGAAAACAAGCTGTGAGCACATGTCTGAAGAATCCTTCAGGTTTCCTTCTGGGATACATGTTTCCTATAGTGGCCTCCAAAATGATTCTTAATTTTCAGCTATCATAATTACTCCTAAAAAATATAACCCTAAATAACAGCCAACAATTATGATTTGAGATTTTCAGTGGGGTTCTGAGGCCGGTTTAGGTTTGCTTTTTTTTTTACACCACCACACTATCTACTTGGGGAGTTGCTCATGTTAGGAAGGGGTGCCTCTTTCTGGCATGCGGTCAGGGTTGTACCAGGCCTCCTGGGTTCCCTGCCCACCCCTTTACTGCACCCCTGGTTATCCTGAAATCGCTGTAGTTCAGGAGGCACCTTGGGGGTGTAGTGTGGCCTAGTAGGGTCTTTTTGGGGGAACCCATGAAGACCCATCCTAAAACCCAAACCCGGCCCTAAGTGATTTCCTCCCCGAACAATAAGAACCCCCACCCCGAATGGAGATTCTCTATGAAGCTCATGGCACTATATTGTAAAGGATACCTACGGCACGGACTTCGGGGGGGTGTTAGGGTTTTGAGGGGGTCACGAAGATTGCGTTCTGCACTCGCTCGCCTTGAGTGGACACGTCTTGGAGCATCTGTTCTCGTGTAGTGACGTAGTGGCTACTTCATGCGGATCTCACAGGCTAGCCCCTTCCAAAGGAGCAATATACATTAATGGGCAAGGTTGGTAAGTGCGGGAAGGGTGCCTTCCGAGACGAGTAGAGCGGGGAACAGTGGCATGGCAGAATACATAGAGACCCTGCTAGAATTCCCACGACCCCATGTGGTCACTATGAGGAAGTGGGGAGATCACCAGCAGGCTTGACTTTGTGTACGGCATCGACTGGAAGTGGAATATCTTTGACTTCTGTTTAGTATCTCGGCGGCGCCTGAGCTATGGAAGTTTTCAAGCACAGGGGGCCCTAGAGACCCAGGAATATGCAGGGCTTCTAAGGAATTTGGGGGTCACACTACCAGGATTCTGTTGGAGTCTTCCCCTATAGGATTAGGGCGTAGGCTTCGCGGCTTTGTTACCCATGATAGCTAATGAATTTACAGGTTAGTAATTTCCACATATGAGCCTAAAGTACGCCTTATGGAAGGAATTGCACCATGCAACTCCAACCCTAGATCTTGGACCCCATTATGCATATTACGACTATTGTTACTCTGGTTATTGTTGCTATTACCGTATTCCTTTTATGGTTATTGCTATTATTACTATCATGTGTACCCTGAACCCTGCAAACCTGTCCACGAGCTGGAGCCCCCTACAGAGTGCTTCCGTGTTGCTTAGGGAACCGGGGCGACTAAAGACATCGAATTCCACACGAGGCAGAAAAACGCTTGCTTGACATCCAGATTAGATCCTGAAGTCATGTCAACTTAGATTCTGAATCCACAAGCGTTTCGTAACAGAAAGTAAGAACATGCTAAAAATCAGGTCGCCATTTTGGAGTTCTGGTTATCATACACATTCCCAGTGCTAGCGTCGACATTTCATAAGCAGCATTTTGGCAAATCTCTGAGACCTAAACCCTAAACCCTAAACCCTAAACCCTGAGACCTAACCTAAGTCCTTTGCCATGAAATCGTAGTCCCTAGATGCAAGAAGCGCGCCATGCTCCAGCCGTCTCCCTAGGGTTTAGGGGGTTTAGGGTTTAGGGGGTTTAGGAGTTTAGGGTTTAGGGGCTTTAGGAGTTTAGGAGTTTAGGGTTTAGGGGTTTAGGGTTTAGGGTTGTTTCACCTTGTTTAATCTTGGGGATCCCCTCCTTACAATACGGCCTCCAGAGAAACGGAAAATAGGGACCAACAATAAGGGCCCCAGCCTCCAACGGTTCTCTGGGTTGCTGTTAAGGAACTTCAATTAAATTCCCATAATGGGTATATATAAGGATAATGGAAAAGAAAATGGAAACTACTATAATGGGGTTATATAGGGTTTAGGGTTTAGGGTTACCATAATGAGTATATATAGTAAGTAATAGGGTTTCCCCAAAATAGTAACTTGAACTAAGTTCCTTAACAGCAACCCAGTGCTGAGGTCCCTAGGGAAGGATCCAAAAGGGATGGTCTGGTTCCTGTTGAGAGCAGGTTTAGGGTTTAGGGTTTAGGGGTTTAGGGTTTAGGGCTTAGGGTTTAGGGTTTAGGGTTTAGGGTTTAGATGGCCTCACATCTTTACCCCTGATCCTCACAAGGGGCAAAACAAATTACGGGGGGCCTCAACAATAAAGGAGGTCCACCTTACATCCCTCTGTGGCTTTAAACAAACCTTGCATCTTAAATGGTAGTTTCTATATTCTTTTTCACTCCTTAATTCCCAATAGTAACTATAGTCCTTTACAGCTTTTCGCATCCTCAAACGGGGCTTTCCCAGAATTTCGAGTATCGTTTTGGAGGTCCCTATAATTAGGATTGTAGTATTGTGGATCTATCTTGGAGTCCCCTTAGTTCTGGAAACTACCCTATACCCTAAGCCCCGAACCCTGTCTTGGCCTTCTTCACAACTAGGGATGTTCAGAACACCATCTTTGCAAGTTTTAGGCTTCAGGGCTTAGGACCACTAAATAGCTCGAGCCAGTCTGTTGAACGGTTCCAGGGCAAACAAAGACAAGACACCAGACGGTTTCATGTTGAGGTGTAAGGTAAATCCGTTCTGCAAATCTATAAGGTTCCCAATAAAAGGAAAAGATGCCACTCGTGGGGGGGTGGGGGGCTTGCAGCAGGGAGACAGTTGGGTTGCAGAAACTCTGAACTTGATATCATTTGGGTAAGTATTGAGAGAAGTGTTTGGTTCGAGTTCTGTCACACTAAACCCAATAGGCAAAATGAGGCTACGATTTTTGTATATCACAGAAAGGGACCTATCATGGGTCTTCCAGAGAAAACATACCCCAGCAAGTAGGGGGGCTACTAGCACAGCGTAAAAATTCTGTGATAAGTTTGTAAGTACTCCATTTGGGCTATAGCTGGCTGTGAGTATAATTACTCTACATCTCAGCTTTCAACTGAACCTCCGATTACCTGCTTTCGCTTTGTCAGCTGTAGTTCTGGGGCCTGGCCACCCGGATCGACAGCCCGTTCAGCTTATTAATATTAGAAATATTATTACTGTTGTTATTCGTATTTTTTTATTGATATTACTATTATCATCATTATTACTTGCAGCCCTAGCTGGCTTAGGTTACCGGTAACCAGCTCTTTGCGGGACGTTCTCATTCCCTTGAAGGGGGTGGTCATGAAACCCTCCCGGGCCCTCCCACAAACCAACTTTGAACGCAACAAGCACCCCGCCAAAAAGGGGCAGCAGTCTGTGCCAGGCTCTTTTCGCCTTGAATGTCAGGCTGGGAGAGTATATACCTTAAACCTTCTACATTCCCGGTACATCCATCTATGTAGCGTTACCGCCAATTATTCCCTATACAGATTTTCTGGGAGGGTCCCATCCTGGCCATTGCAGGTTTTCGAGCCCCAAACCAACGAAAGCTCAGAAGTAAGAAGGCTTGAAGTATTTGCCCCCCCTAGGGTGTATGGGTTCAGTGGTAGGAACATATGTAATTGTAAACGGCCTTACGTGCTAGGTATATTGGGACCACGATTAACCCTGAACGCATGCCAGGGGCCCATAGTTGCAATGACCTTAGAGGAGTATGCGCTGCTTCAAATATCACACCTGGACTCGTAAGCCTCAAAACGTGTGGCCTGAAACCTAGACCCTAAAGCCTCAGGCATCATATTGCCTTGCAGAGGACACACTCCGGCATGGCGGGTTTGTTTGCTTAATTGGTTTGTCGTTTCAGGCTTACCTGGGCCGGCAACCCATAAACAATGGTTTGATCCCATAATGTGTTGGCATCTAGGTAAATTATGGACATTTTGGTAGTCTGGCTACGGCTCAGGGCTTGAGAAGTTAAAGAATCAAGGCGGACACCATCTTGTTGTCTCAGGTTGGCTAATTACCCTAAATAGCCGAGCATCACCAAAGTTCTAGAGTTTGGCGTCTGCTGTGCCTTAAAGTTCAGCATAAGATGTACGGACCTACTTTTTCTGGGACGAACAATGACAGTTCATTTTTCTTTTCCTACCATCCCAGACATAGGCTTGCTGGACTTAGTCAGAAGCTTCAAGCCCTAAGCCTAAGCCCGAAGCCCTCCTTCTGCTAGGACATGGTCAGGGAACCCCAAACCCTAATCCTAAAAAGGGATCTCCAAGACAGGCCATGATTTTTGCTAGGAGGATGGGGTTCACGGCCTGGGTGGTCATACTTGTCGTTGGGAAACGGAGACCCGCGGGTTTAGGGTTCAGGGCTCAGGGTTTAGGATGACTTCAAGGTTTTGCTAGCTCTTGCATGCTCGTTGTGCCTGCTGGTGCAATAATGACGTGCTAAACCCTTAATCCTATCCTCTACAAAAACCTGAGCCCTGAATCCAAGCTCCGAAGCCCCAAGCTCACTCCTCGACGGTAGACTCTTATCCCCTGGATCATGGCAAAGCCAGCACGGAGTGCTGCCGGATTCAACTGGGCCACCAGCTGCAGACATCTGAGAATCTGCGACGTCCAGCCACTCATGCCAAATCATGGAAAGTCGGACGCGAAGATGAAGTTGACGGACATGTCTAACACCACCTACGTCTGCTCCGACGCATGGCAGAAGACCTGCACCAGACCAGTCTATTTCCCGCCACGGGCAGACAGTCAGCCCTTGCCCTCATTTGCCAACCGAAGTGGGAGTTCTGCATCAGGCGTGTCAGGGATTTGGGAGCTGGGTGTGTTGCAAGTAGGCACTGTGCTTCACAGAGGATCTTCATTCATTTTCAAGAGGGGGCGTGATAGATGAACAGTGCTTTTTCAAAATTAGCGTACCCCAATATAGACCCCAATATACTATAGTCCTTAGTATAGGGACCCCCAAAATGGTACCTCTGATTTTGGGAATGGTGCCCTTAGCAGGTAAGTACCAAGGAGCTCAAAAACAAGTGTTGAGCTGGCGAGGATAAGCTGTATCGATCGCTAGTTCGGAATCCGGAACTCCTAAACCTAAACCCCCAGACTCCACACCGCTAAACCTCTACATAATCTCTGAACCTTGAAACTTAAACCCCAAGATAGATTCCTCAAGCAGCCTGGTTTTCTTGTATTTGGGGGGGGGGCTATGGATCCCAAGGATTCTAGCAGGAAGTGAGGGTTTCTTTTTGGGACTATAAAGTAGCATTTTCGAGAAATTCCCATATGTTGTAACATACCACAGTAAGAATGTTTAAGCAGTAGCGATGGCGTAACATCAGGGGATGGGGGGTTCCAGCACCCAAACCCTGAACCCCATACCCTTCTCTTGGGCTGTTGGGCCACAATCCCAAATGTTGAGTCTTTGACCCCCGTAATCCCAAGATCCCAGGACCCTACCTGTAACCCCAATTACCCATGGTGTAGTGGTCATCACCCTGGTACGCACTTACCACGTACCATGTGGGTGTAGCCCATCAACCTCCAGGTAATTTCAGTTACAAGTAAACCCTAAACCATGTATGAAGGTATCCGGGTTTAGGGTTTTGGGTTTAGATCCACCCCTGGGGTTTCGACAACGGCCCAGTTGTTAGGGTCCAGGGCGCGGCTTCACCCTCACCCTGCAATGTTTCTGCCAGAGTGGCCAGTGCCACGAGTACTGCCCGGGTGGTTAAATAAGTTCGTGAACAGAAGTCAACTTTTCATGGGTTCCCCTAGTAACCCCTCTATACTACCCCCCCTAGGTTCCCCCTTAATTAAGGTTATCTAGGGATAGTTAAGCCTAATTAAGGTTAATTAGGGGGGGAACCTAGGGGGGGTAGTATAGAGGGGGGTACTAGTTGAACCCATGAACTTTGCTTTGGCTGTTCAT